GAATTGGTACCCCCAAAATGATCAATGAGGCTCGGGCATAATCAAAGAACCAGTCAGAGACCAGCCCTCACCAACCTGAACCAATCAGAAACCAGCTTGGCTAAAGGCCAATCTGAAGTCAGGACACCTGGTTATAAAGACAGCCCAGTCACTGCTCAGTTTGCCTCTGAAGATGCCAGCCAGAGTTGCCAGTGAAATGTCAAGAAATGTGTTATCCAGCCCACAATCACTCAACCCTGAAACCCAACACTGCTCCAAAAATACTTTATGTTTATTTCTACCTGCAGAATTATGTCTGGAGATCTCACAAAAGGGAGTATAATGAATGACATCCAGAAATATTTTCCTCCATCGTGGCGGTAGCTTCTACTGGTTCTGGACTGAACAATACTGGCACCTAGAATTACATTGCTATACAATTAAATATTTCATTATTGATCTGTTTATTGTATATTATGTGAAAAAAAATTCCAGGGATACAAGACTAATGCTGTTTGTCAGCAAAGAGAATCCAGAAAATATAACCTCTGTTACAATTTACGTGCAACAAACAATTAGCAAATTCCAGAATGGGAGATCCCCACTTCTTTTTCTTATATATATAGTTGAACTGCAGCTGCTATAATCAAGAAAGAATAACAGAGAATGTACCCTGGGTAATAAGCCATTTCCAATATATGATTATATTTATCCAGGCCATTAAAGGTCCAATTTTGGATGATTTTGATGTTATTGTTCCTTGGGTTTATCATTTTAAAGATAAGCCTACACAACTGGCTGCCATACAATTTTAAGTACAACTGGATGACATAAAATTACTGACTGGATCTATAAAGCATCCACCTTGGGATCTAATCTGAGTGAAGTGTGTGGTTGCCTGAAGCTGAGGAAACAGAAATGTTTAATGGACTACAGTTCCCCTTTGTCTGTCATGTTTGAAGCCCTAGGATATTCCTGGAGCTCATTATTTTATGACTAAGTCTAAAAAGACAGTGACTATGAATATTTTCTGAGAATTCTTTAATAGAAAGCTGGAAACTTTTCTACCAATTTGGAACTATGTACAGTTGCACAGTTACATAGTGAACCTCTTACAACTTGCATATTAAAATGTGCAAACAAAATGCTTTTAAGACTTCAGATATTGTAGTTGATACTGAAGAGAAAATGCATCTTTAAAAGGAATAGTACAATGTCTACATGAAGTATTTAGAGATTTGTTTTAATTTAACAATTGAAGTACATACCATAGTTTATACTGATTAATGCTGTCCTATATATGAATAGCAAAGATTTCCAAAATCTAGTTATTTAGCTTGGAGAGTAACAGCTGCTGCAAATACCTGCTGATTTGAGTGCATAATCTGGCATCTGAACATCATCTTCATCCAACTTTTCCTTTAATTTTTTAAGCGTTTTTTCAATAGTCTGTCATGGATAAAAAGTAAAATTAAAATTCAGCCATTATTACATCTGTAAAGTCAGGAATATTTAGAAAGAGCCAGAAATGATCAAAGAAGACATTTGAACTCTGACTGCAATTTTTCAGAAATGTGGCACCATATGAATCATTTATGACGTGGATTGCTACTCTGCAAGGGGCACAGGTAGCAAAAAGCTAGCATACAAACACAGAACAGGGAAGTCCGTGCATCTGGCTGTGGCACTGAATCATGTCTCCAGTGCTGCTTGACTTCATTGTGCTGTTGCCAGTTAAGCAGGCTCAAATAGGAACACGAACTGAAAGAACATGAACTAGATTGTTAGTGGCCCAAGATGTGATCTGGTGAATTGAAAGCCATATTGGTTTGATAGAAATATGATTTCTGTCAATAAAATCTTATGAAGATCTCTTACCCATCTTGTAATGCCTTTGCTCGTATATCCTTTCAGTATTTCACTAACTGTGTCATAGGCAATATCCTTCATACTCAATTTCAAGCCTTGAAGTTGTGTTTGCAGCATATGTACTTCCTCCTTCAGAGATGGGATTTCAAGTGACCTTTTTTCCAAAATGTCATTAGCTTTCCTAGGAAAAATAATGAAGGGAAATGATACAAAGCACCGTTCTTTACATCCTTCACTATGTCTATAACCATATAGATATTATGTATTTCAGAAAGGCTATGAACTATAGTAATGACAATTCTGAAATGAAAACTCTAGAAAATATACACAATTCATCCGTACACCAATTTGATTGATATGATTGCATTATGAGAAGAATGATTAAGCTTGGACCTTGCCTTAACATTGTTTATGGAACAGAGTTGATTGAATAATTTGGAACCCACCTTCAGAGGAACAAACAAGTTATGCACTATTTCATATTGTTTTGTTATCCATCCACATCCCCAAAAATATCTAGTTGTTATACAGTTAAAGCAGTCAGGTCAGAGTGGCAGAGCTTCACTGCATAACCTGTTCTTCTAAAGAGTTTTTTTTTTTAAATTGACTTCTTCAATTTTGCTTTTATTTTTGAAAAAGATGCTATGAGCTGGCTAGGATTGTTAAGATATGGATTGGGTTGGGGAATAGGTGAAGTTGCAGACTGTCTTCCAGATCTGAATGGGAAGGGGAACAGTGAAAGGAACTCAGGTTATTATTTTTTTTCTCATACTGCTTTAAGAATAGCTGTAAGGATTTTCTACTGTCAACTCAGCCAGTGGGAAACAGGTCAACGACATACTGAAGCCATCTACTATAACAGTAGCAGAAGAGCACTGTTATCCCGCAGGATGGGGCAGAAGAGGGGAAAAATGCTTTAACCAGATACCCTGATTTAACCATTGTTAGAATGATTTTCTAATAATCACTTTAGAGGTAGGAGGCTTAACTATGACCAACTATCATTCTTGATTAGCATACAAAAGTACATTTTCTTTCACAAGCAGAAATAGAAGTACG